ATAGGAGCAGAAAGGCTGACGTTCTGATGAAGGGTCTAGGCCCGAAATGTCAGCCTTTCTGCTCCTATGATGCTGCTTGGCCTGCTGTGTTCATCCAGCTCTGCACCTTGTTGTCTCGGATTCTCCAGCATCTGCAGTTCCTACTATCTCTGAACAAATATACGATGCTTACAAATGGTTTAACATCATAGAGAATTGGTTTGTATCCCTAAGGGGATAGCAAGAACTACAGATGCTGGAGTCAGAGTCAATACAGAGTGGAGCTAGAGGAACACAGCCGGTCAGGCAGTCCTGATGAAGGGTCTAGGTCTGAAACGTTGACTCTCCTGCTCCTCTGATGCTGCCTGACCTACTGTGTTCCTCCAGTTCCACACTATATTGACTTTGTATCCCTAAAGGCCAACTCTAATTGTTAATGCATCATGAATGACTAAAGATGCAAGAGACTAGTTTAAACTCAAAGAGAAAACATTCATAAATACAGCAAATCACACAGGTGCTGACACATAGGAAAGGTATAATGAACATACAAGGGTGACAAAATAGATGGTAACAATTTACAAAAAACAATATGAAAAAATGCTGGGAGACAATACCAAAAACAATGCAATATTTTAAAACTATATGTGACCTGCCATGCGATAATAGAGATGTTGTCAACGAAAATAAAGAAATAACAGACATGTTGATTTAAAAAAAAGAACTGCGGACATTGGAAATCAGAAACAAAAACACAAATTGCTGGAAAAGCTCAGCACCATCCATGGAGAGAAATCAGAGTTAATGTTTCGGGTCGAGTGACCCGAGGAAGGTTCTGAGGAAGGGTCACTAGACCCGAAACATTAACTCTGATCTCTCTCCACAGATCCCGCTAAGCTTTTCCAGCAATTTCTGTTTTTGTTTTTGATATTAAATAATGACTTTGCTTCAGAATTTACAGAGGAAGAGGTCAGAAATCCCAGAAAAATTAATACTGCAATGGGATAGAGACACAGAAAATTGATTATAAAAATCCCAGTGAGTCTAAACATTGGTTGTCACAAAATTATTCAAGTGTATAATTAGAGTCATGGTGACTGAACATACAGTCATAGAGTTGTACGTCATGGAAACAGACCCTTCAGTCCAACCCGTCCATGCCGTCCAGATATTTTAATTAATCTGGTCCCATTTGCCAGCATTTGACCCATAGCTTGACGTCTTTAAATTTTTCAGCTGATCAGACAAAGCATTTTTACTAAATGTGTCCATGGAAGGTACGTGTCACAGATTATACCAGCACTTATTGTCCATTTCCAAACTGCCATGGATTCGCAAAGGGTAGGAGATATCTGATATATCTGGTTGAGTTATTTGCCTGAAGTAGGAAATAGGGGAAAAGCTATGGAGATAATTTATGTGGACTTCCAGAAGGCATTTGATAAAGTCCTTCTTAAGAGAATTCTGCTGAAGTTGAGCCCATTGAACTAAAGGCAAATAATTGATCTGGTTAGGGAAATATCTCTGGCTGCTCAGCCAGGGTACGGACACTGAATAGATCGTCTCAGTGGCAGGATGTGACAAACAGTGTCTCATAAGGCTATGTTATGGGCCCTCAAATATTTATCAACAACTTAGATATGGCACGGTGGCTCAGTGGTTAGCACTGCTGCCTCACAGCACCGGGGACCAGGGTCCAATTCCACCCTTGCGTGACTGTCTGCTTGGAGTTTGTATATTCTCCCTGTGTCCACATGGGGTTTCCTCCAGGTGCTCTGGTTTTCTCCCAAAGCCCAAAGATGTGCAGGTTAGGTGTATTGGCTACGCTAAATTGCCCATAGTGTCTAGGGTGGAAAATGCAGGGATAGGTTAGGGGATGGTCTGGGTGGGATGCTCTTTGGAGGATTAGTGTGGATTCAATGGGCCAAATGGCCTGCTTCCACACTGTAGGGACTGTATGATGATGGGATAGGAAACCACATATCCAAATGCGGCAACGACATGCAGATAGGTGACACTGTTAAGCAGTGTGGATAGGAAGATAAAATAATAGAGATATTGATAGTTTAAGTGAATAGACAGATCTGTGACAATGCAAGAAAATATGATCTCATCCTCTTTAAACCCAAAAAGCATAGAATAAGGAATTTTCTAAACTTTGAAAATCTAAAAACCATGGAGCTCTAAAGACATTTGAGGGGATGGTTCAAGTACACAGAGAGTTAAAAGGATGGCAGGCATAGAAAAATGACTCAGGGAATACTGGGTCTTTATAGCCACAGGAGTGAAGCCTATTTGGAAATTGGGCAGTTTTTATCAAGTGACCAAGTCATAAGTCCTAATGTCAAGACAAGCAGTTACCCCAATATTTTCTGTTATGCATAATGCTTAGTAGCTAGCACCCTGTGTAGTGCATATTACATGCTTTGTTGACAACACTGTATGGGATGGATGGACTGTTCCACAGGCTGGTTAGTGGTGATATATTGAAAGGCTTGAATGCACTGCAATGGGATGGGTGTAAGTGCTTTGTGACTACTTACCAGTTCACCAGTGATTCCTTTAGGTCCTGGCTTTCCAGGTAATCCCTAAAATAGATTATGAGAGAAAAGCAGATCATTAAACTGAACATATTCACAGGCCGCCAATTCACTGAAAAAGAAAAGACTATGCAGAATATGAAAGATAACAAATTGTGTCCCAGGCCTGACTACCTTCAGCTGTTTCATCAATGACTTTCCCTCCATCATAAGGTCAGAAGTGGGGACATTCACCGATGATTGCGCAATGTTTAGCACCATTCGTGACTCCTCAAATACTGAAGCAGTCCATGTTCAAATGCAACAAGATCTGGACAATATCCGGGCTCTGGCACTTGACAAGTGATAAGTAATATTTGCGCCACTCAAATGCCAGGCCAAGTCAGAATGGGCAGTGACTTGGAGAGTAGCTTGCAGGTGGTGGTGTTCCCACGTATCTGCTTCCCTTGTCCTTCTAGATGGAAGTATTGTGGGTTTGGAAGGTGCTGTCTGAGGATCTTTGGTAAATATCTGCAGTGCATCTTGTAGATAGTACACACTGCTGCGACTGAGCGTCAGTGGTGGAGGGAGTGGATGATTGTGGATGTGGTGCCAATCAAGCGGCTGCTTTGTCCTGGATGGTGTCAAGCTTCTTGAGTGTTGTTGGGGCTGCACCCATCCATGCAAGTGGGGAGTATTCCATCACACTCCTGACTTGTGCCTTGTAGATGGTGGACAGGCTTTAGGGAGTTGGTTGGAGCCAATGGCCTGTTTCTGAGCTGTATATAGTTTTATGATACTACCCAATTTGGAGTTGGATTGTGAAAGAGGATATTGCCTCCTCTCTACCTTTGATCAGTTGCGGACTGAGTATTGAGAAAATTGATTCACCTCACAAATACCGTTACTCCAACTAAATATCAGTGTTGCTTAATTTGAATAAATTCAAATGATTAACTATCCAGTCATAAATCAAATACCCCACATCAATAAAAAAAATGAGATCTTCAAAAACTGTCTGGAGACCAGCTAAATAATTAGCTGGTATGCCCAGTATAACACAGACTCTGCCTCTACCTCTACCCAGTAACCAATCACATCCCTGCAGAGACAGAGAAGGATCTATGTCAGAATGGCCGTGATATTGATTCCTGTTTCTAAGTACTCCTGTTCACCTGTGTGTCCAGAGTGGGGAGGAAGAACCAACATTAACTCCCTCTCCTCATCACTGCTTCTACGCGGAATTGTGTCTTTTGTACAGTCTGAACTCTGCTGGGATTTTCTCCATGTCCGAAGGGATGGTCAGTAAGACATGATACTGGAGAATTATCCACTAAACTATCCCAGCATGGAGTCAGATCTTAAGGGAGAAGGGAGGAAGGGGATATTTACACAGGGAGTATGTTTTAAAAGATGATGCACTGTGGGATATAGTTTTAAACCTCTTCGAACCAACTGTAAGTTAATATCCTTTCTTCGGTCACCGTGGCCACAAACTGCACCTTCATCTCGAATTTCTGCAGTGAGTATATCATCTACTGCAGTGATTCGCCAAGGCTCCTTCGACAGCACCTTCCAAACACATAACCTTTAGAAGGACAAGGGCAGCAGATACATGGGAACACCACGCCCTGCAAGTTCCCGTCCAAGCCACTCACCATCCTGACTTGGAAATATATCACCGTTCCTTCCGTGTCGCTGGGTCAAAATCCTGGAATTCCCTCCCTAAGGGCACTGTGGGTTTATCTACAGTACATGGACAACAGCAGTTTGAAAGACATCACTGAGCAGTAAACACTGGCCTTGCCCATGATGTTTACATTTCTTAAACCAATAAAAAAATAAAGTCACCAGTTACTCTTTCGAAGAGTAGGATACTCACAGGCTGTCCCACTGGACCTTTCTCTCCAGGGGCCCCATTACCTCCTGGCTCACCCTGTAATACAAGAAAAATATTTTACCAAGGCAAAGAGAGTAGGCTCAATGAGCCAACACTCCCGTTTCTTGTTCTTAGTTTGAATTACTTTGTTGTCTTTAACACACATTTAACAACGAGGATGTTAATTTTTGAAGGCCAAAAAGTGTCCAGTCACCTTTTCACCATTGATTCCTGGATTTCCGTCTCGTCCATCCCGGCCTGGAATTCCCTGAAATATTACAACAAATTCTTAAAACTCTCAGTATCAACTTAACTCAAGATCACGTCTGATTTTAAGTGAGTAAGCCCTTATTGACTGAATAGCTTAGGGGTTAATGTTACATCCAGCATTACCATCAGTCACTTTGGAAGGGGGTTTTCAATGGGAGACTAATCAAATATTTAGCCCAGTAACTACATTTGTGTTTCGATTTAATACAATGAAAAATGCAGTGAGATTCTGTAGCAATAGGGCGCTGGGTTTTGTATGTGAATTACAAGAGGTACTGAACCAATGCATGTTCTCTTCACGGGCTACACCATTTTTTTCATTGCATTAAAATGAACTATGATGTTCTACCTCTTCCTTCCTCAGTGATACTAAAACAAGGGCCACTGTTTGATCAATTCATCTAAATCTTCATTTTCCCACTTAGGGTATAAGGTATTCACCCAGATAGCTACTGCTGGTATCTTGTGGTCTTTGCCACCTTTCCCAGTGTTGGTACTGGGTAAAGGTTGTTCGAGGTAGTTCACTGCCACCAGCTGTCCGTTGTCTTTCTGTTGTCTACCTGGTGATCAGTGGTAGAGGATATACCACCATTGAGTATCTGCAGAGGAAGCAGCGTCCTTAGAGGACAAGAAGAGTTGTTGTTTGACAGCAGTAAGTACAACTCCATTTGGTCAGGTATAATGTCTCAGACCTTAGGGAGCTGGTCCAGATTCATGTGCTCTCTCTGAAAGCTGGAGTACAACTTGTTATCTCCACCCTCAGACTGCGGGTGATATCAGTAGAATGGGTAGAGCCAATGGACCAGGCAAACAGGAAGAAGATTTGACACAGACCATTTGGATCTAAATACTAGTTGCAGTGCTGTAAACATGCTGTAGTTTCCCAGCTTCTGATATTCGAACAGTGACAGTACGTTGTACCACATCACGATGACAGTACGTTGTACCACATTACCATTGCAGTACGTTGTACCACATCACCATTACAGGACATTGTACCACATCACCATTACAGGACATTGTACCACATCACCATGACAGTAAATTGCACCACATTACCATGACAGTACGTTGTACCACATCACCATGACTGTACGTTGTACCACATTACCATTTAGCTACAACCGTAAGACCCAGGGGCTCTGTGTTGTGGGCCCCGTGAAGTACTTAACTAACTCTCCCTCTGCGTCCAAGTGCTGTTCTCCTGTTACCCTTGTTTGCACTGGTGCCCAATCCCATTCTGCTGCACCATCCCTCCATTGTCCACTCAAACTTTACAACACTTGTTAAGTGCACTTTGTTTGAAGAAAATATAGTCCAAATAGAGTCACAGAGTTATACAGCACAGAAACAGACCATTTGGCCCAACTTGTCCACACCGACCAGACATCCCAATCTGACCTAGTCCCATTTGCCAGCATTTGACCCATATATCTCCAAATCCTTCCTATTCATGTACCCATCCAGATGCCTTTTAAATGTTGCAATTGTATCCACCTACACCACTTCCTCTGGCAGCTCGTTCCATACATACATCACCCTCTGCATGAAAAAGTTGCCCCTTCAGTCCCTTTTAAATCTTTTCCTTTCTCACTTTAAATCTACGCTCTCTAGTTTTGGTCTCTCCCACCCTAGGAAAAAGACCTTGGTTATTCACCCTATCCATGTCTCTTGTGATTTTATAAACCTTTATAATATCACCCCTCTGCCTCCAATGCTCCAGGGAAAACAATCCAAGCCTATCCAGCCTCTCCCTATAACTCAAACCCTCCAGACCTGGTAGCATCCTTGTAAATCTTTTCTGAACCTTCCTATAGAAAAGCAACCAGAATTGTATGCAGTATTCTAAAAGTGGCCTCACCAATGTCCTGTACAGCCACAACATGACGTCCCAACTCCTACACTCAAAGCACTGATCAATAAAGGCAAGCGTACCAAACACCTTCTTTACCACCCTGTTTACCTGCAACTCCACTTTTGAGGAACAATGAACCTGCATTCCAAGGCCTCTTTGTTCGGCAACACTCCCCAGGACATTCCCATTAAGTGTATAAGTCCTGCCCTGATTTGCCTTTCCAAAATGCAGCACCTCACACTTATCTAAATTAAACTCCAACTGCCACTCCTCGGCCCATTGGCCCATCTGATCAAGATCCCACTGTACTCTGAGTAACCTTCTTCGCTGTCTACTACAGCACCTATTTTGGTGTCATCTGCAAACTTACTAAGCATGCCTCCTATATTCACAGTCAAATCATTTCTGTAAATGACAAAAAGCAGTGGGCCCAGCACTGATCCATGTGGCATACCACAGGCCACCAGTTTGAAAAGCAACCCTCTACCACCTTGCTCTTGACTCCTATCTTTGAGCCAATTGTGTATACAGTTGGCAAACTCTCCCTGGATTACATGTGATCTAACCTTACTAACCAGTCTACCTTGTGGAACCTTGTTGAATGCCTTGCTGAAGTCACTATAGACAACATCCACTGCTCTGCTTTCATCAGTCTTTTTTATCACCTCTTCAAAAAATTCAGTCAATCATTTCTCTTGGCAGGCATTTTCCGATTTTTTTGGACTGTTAGCATTTTCACAAAATATTTCCATTCACCAACCAAAGGGATAGAGTCTGAAGAGAGGATCTTTATACAAACCCCTCCCAGCCAAAAGAGTGACTCACTTTCTGTAAACGGTAATCGGGACTGCTATGGAATTCAGGCTCAGGCTCAATCATGGTTCTCCTCACTCCCCACTCGAGTCCCACGTACCCTAGCTCCAGCCTCTCTTAGCAGCCCTTAAACCTTCCTACATGTCCCAACTACACGTGGGCTTGAAATCTATTCTCGCAAATTCAGAATGGAATACCAGTTTGCTTTTAAGGTACTTGAAGCATGGAACCTTTCAGTGCTAGAGAAACAAAGACAATCAGTGTTGAACATCCAGGAGATCTGCTGCGATGGGATACTTACCAGCTCACCCTTCTGTCCTGCAAGTCCAGGCAGACCTCTGGGACCAATCTTGCCCTATAGGGAGAGCAGAGAGTTAATAGCCAACTCTGGATGGGTCAGGATAACAACAAGCAGCAAGTAATAGACAAAGAGTAAAGAGGTCATACCTCTAGGAATATAATGCCAGCAGGATCCAATGCTGCAGTTACAAGGTCTGGAATTTGCTACAAATCTGTAATTATGAGTTTAATGATGACCAATGTCAATTGTCATAAAAATCCATCTGGTTCACTAATGTCCTTTATGGAGGGAAACTGCCATCCTCACTGGATCGGACCTACATGTGACTCCAGACCACAGCAATGTGGTTGATTCCTAACTGCCCTCTTGGCAATAGATATTGGCATGGCCATACATGAACATGCATGCACATGTATGCACGCACACACACACTCATTGCTGTATTTATATTGAAGAATGATGCCAGAATCCTTTATTCAAGCTGTACAGGTGTGCATCACTCAGGAACTCCTCTCCTCCTTCGGTCTCTTATCCCTCATGCGATCTCTGGAATGTCATTATTCAATGTCCCATTGCTGCCCTAACTCTTCGTTTGTTGTTCTTTTAGCTGCTGCAAATAGGCTCCTCAATATTAATAAGGAATAATTATTTCATTGAACTTTATAGTACAGGAGCTGACCATTCAGCCCATCGTATTTGTGCCAGCTCTCTGAAAGGAGCTATCCATTCCCTTCCACTTTAACCTGTTTTATTCCCCACTATTCCAGGCAAATTTCTGAATTTGAAACTTTTGAGGTCAAGTACGTCCAGGATGCTGTTTGATCAGTCTTGGCCCTCTCCAACAATGAGCCTCTGTGTGATTTTAACAACGACAGAACTATAGCCTTAATTAGACAGCAACAACCTATTCCAGAACACACAGCTGTCCAACTCTCTCACATTCCAAACTTAGTACCGCAGAACAGGGGCAAAGATTCGACTACATTTCTTCACATCCTCCATAGAACATAGAACATAGAACATTACAGCGCAGTACAGGCCCTTCGGCCCTCGATGTTGCGCCGACCTGTGAAACCAATCTGAAGCCCATCTAACCTAAACTATTCCATTATCATCCATATGTTTATCCAATGACCATATAAATGCCCTTAAAGTTGGCGAGTCTACTACTTTTGCAGGCAGGGCATTCCACGTCCTTACTACTCTCGGAGTAAAGAACCTACCTCTGACATCTGTCCTATATCTATCACCCCTCAATTTAAAGCTATGTCCCCTCGTGCTAGCCATCACCATCCAAGGAAAAAGGCTCCCACTGTCCACCCTATCTAATCCTCTGATCATCTTTTATGTCTCTAATAAGTCACCTCTTAACCTTCTTCTCGCTAACGAAAACAGCCTCAAGTCCCTCAGCCTTTCCTCATAAGACCTTCCCTCCATACCAGGCAACATCCTGGTTAATCTCCTCTGCACCCTTTCCGATGCTTCCACATCCTTCCTATAATGCGGTGACCAGAACTGTACGCAATACTCCAAGTGCGGCCGCACCAGAGTTTTGTACAGCTGCAACATGACCTCATGGCTCCGAAACTCAATCCCTCTACCAATAAAACCTAACATACCGTACGCCTTCTTAACAACGCTAACAACTCCATTCCATAATCTGTAAATATGTCTTTCCTATAATGTCCTTGTTCTGCTTCAAGCTTGCTGTCTACACCTAAAGTGGTGTGTGTCGTCCAAGGCCCAGCTGCTAGTTCTGTTATCACTGAGTCTGACGGGTTGCAGCTTTAGCACCTGCTCCAAAGCACAAAGCTCAAGCTTAACAGTGCAGTTCTCACTGAGGGAGTGCTGCACTGTTGGCGGTACTGTCTTTCAGCAGAGATGTGAGACTGATGTTAAACCTGCTCCTCTTGTAGGGGGGAGGTGTTGGTAAGAGATTCCATAGCATTTTAAAGAATAACACTGCCATTAGTCTGGGACAAGATTTATCCTTAATTGTCAGTTGTCCCTTCATTTGACATTGACTCTGGATTATGAGTTTTTGCTATGGGCCTTCAGCCAACTGAATGGGCTTGTTCTTAACCCACTATTTCAAATGGGTTTCTGGGCAGCAATGACATGGGCAGCATTTGTTTCCCATTTGATCATCCTTGGACTGAATGGTCTATCAGAGTATCCCAGAGGGCAGTTCAGAGTCAACCACATTGCTATGGGTCTGGAGTCACATGTAGGCCAGACCAGATAAGGATGGCAGTTTCCTTCCCTAAAGGACATTAGTGAACCAGATGGGTTTTTGCAAAAACCAATGCTAGTGAGATTAAAGAAACTATCTTTTAAAATCAACGACTTATTTGTTGAAGTCAGACATCACCAGCCCCCATAATGGTAGCCAGGTCACCAGGTCACTAGCCTCTGGCTCACTAGTCTAGTGGCATGACCATTACACCCCCATTGTTCCTGGTTATTATTACAATGCTGCTTGTGGAACTTCCTATCACGCTGACTTTCCAACATTATAAAAGTAATTACACCTTCAAATAATAAAACTTCATAAACCTCCATAAAACTGAGGTTATCCAAATCTCAATTGCCTGTGCGTCAAATTGCAGCAAGTGCTGATTTGGTGCTCACTGACCTACATTAGTTTCAGGTCAAGAAAAGCAACTTCATTTTAAAATTCTCATCCATTTCGCTCCATAGCCTGACCTGTCCCTATCTCTGTAGTCTCCTTCAGTCCCACAACCCTCTGAAATACCTGTGCTCTTCTAATTCTGACCCTTTGTGCTTTTACCAATCACAATCAAGAGTGGCTCAGTGTTTAGCACTGCTGCCTCACAGTGCCAGGGACCCAGGTTCAATTCCACCCTCAGGCGACTGTCTGTCTGGAGTTTACACATTCTCCCTGTGTCTGTGTGGGTTTCCTCCGGGTGCTCCAGTTTCCTCCCACAGTCCGAAGATGTGCAGATTAGGTGGTTGACCATGGGGTCACTGGGGAATTGCTCTTCAGAGGGTTGGAGCTGGGCCAAATAGCCTCTTTCTGCACTTTAGGGATTCTATTAATTGCTCCACTCTTGGTGTCCATGCCTTCAGTTGTCTTGCTCCCAAGCTTGGGAATTCCCTCTCTACCACACTTTCCTCTCTGGCCATGTTTTCGGTCACCTGACCTAACATTCCTTAGGTGGCTCAGTGTCACATGTTGTTTGATGGGAAACACCCTGGAGTTTACACGTTGAAGGTACAATATAAACATAAATTGTTGTTAATTGACTAACATGCTTTGGGACAGATCTATATAGATCACTGCCTATAACACCACACAATTTTCTGATATTATTCATATCCTTATTGAAAAACAGATTGAGACACAGAGATCAAGGAAATGAAAAACACTTTAAAATAGCATCCCAACAATAATAATTGTTGTTTTGCTTTCACTTACCGGGTTTCCCTTTGTTCCTTGGAATCCTTGGAATCCTTTTGGACCTATATCTCCCTGTATTCAACACCAAACATTTCAGTAAACAAAACCGAATGTAGCAAACTGTCTCAGCACGCTCACTCACTTCTCTCCCTCACACTCACACACACACTCACATTCACACACACGCACACACACACTCTCACACACACAAACCACACACATGCACAGACTCATACACACACACACATACACACACACTCACACACAAACCACACACGCACACACACACACAAACCACACACACACACACACAAACCACACACACACACACACACACACACACACACACACCACACACACACACACACACACACACACCCTGTTCCTGATACTGATTAAGCTATTTTTTCCAGGCAGTTTCGGATTGGAAACCTGGAAGTTCATGTTTTTGATGATTTTACATATCACAAACCCTAACCCCACCTATTTTGGGGGTAAAATTACCCCTTTCATCAAAAATATTGGAGAAAAGTACGTTGCAGGTTTCAGCTCTAAAGAAAAACCATATCAGACCCAAAATTTTAACTCTGTTTCTCTCTCCACAGATGCTGCCAGACCTGCTGAGTTTCTCTGGCAATTTCTGTTTATTTCAGAAATGCTCAGCAATTGAAATACTTCAACACACAGTAAAGGTCTTGGGAGAGCAATATCCTATTCTATGACAAGATTAATGATTAATGAATAAAATAGTTCTACGTCTAAAATTGAAACTGAAAATGCTCTAATTAAACAGGTGATGTTTTGCAGAGGAAAGGACAAGTTAATATTGAGAATAAGTCTTTTTAACATATTCATTGGATGTGCGTGCTGCTGGATGGAAGCGTTTATTGACAATATGTAATTGCTCCCATGCAGGTTCTGGTAAGTTGGATTCTTTTTGCTTCATTCACAGCAGATGGGCATCATTGGCTGGGTCAGCATTTCTTTCTGATCCCAGTTCCTCTTCAGACACAGAAACATAGAAAATAGGAGCAGGAGGAGGCCATTCAGCTCTTCGAGCCTGCTCCGTCATTCTTCATGATCATGGCTGACCAACCAACTCAATAGCCTAATCCTGCTTTCTCCCCATAACCTTCGATCCCATTCACCCCAAGTGCTGTATCTAGTCGCCTCTTGATTACTTTCAATGCTTTGGCATCAACTACTTCCTGTGGTAATGAATTCCACAGGCTCACCACTCTTTGGGTGAAGAAATGTCTCCTCATCTCCGTCCTAAATGGTCTATCCCGAATCCTCATACTGTGACCCCTGGTTCTGGACACACCCACCATCGGGAACATCCTCCCTGCATCTAGCCTGTCCAGTCCTGTTAGAATTTTATATGCCTCTATGAGATCCCCCCTCACTCGTCTGAACTCCAGCGAAAACAATCCCAACCTAGTCAATATCTCCTTATACACCAATCCCGCCATCCCCGGAATCAGCCTGGGAAACCTTCACTGCACTCCCTCCAGATGGTGTTGGTGAGCTGCCTTTCTGAACTGCTGCAGTCCGAAGTTCATTCCACATGCAAACTACCTTCCGTGTAAAAGATTTATTCCTCATGTCTTTTTTAAATCTCTCTCCTCTCACCTTAAAAATGTATTCCCTAGTCTTGAAAGTTCCAAGTTTAGGGAAAAGAAAATTATCATTAACTCTATCTATCCCCTCATTATTTTATAAACTTCTAACAGGTTGCCTCCCAACCTCTCACGCTTTAGTGAAAAAAATCCCAGCCTATCCAGCCTTTCCTTATAACTCAAACCTGTTGTAGAAAGACTTTCCTAAATTTATACTTTATCTCCCTTGCAATAAAGGCTGACTCCATTTGCCTTCCTAATCACTTGCTGGACCTGCATGCTAGGTAATAGATGTACAAGGATTCACAGCTCCCTCTGCATGGTAGCATTCTGCAGTCTCTCTCCACTTACATAATATTCGATTTGCCTATTCTTCCAACCAAAGTCTAGAACCCTACAATATTTCACTTAATTTTCCAATGTTTTGCCCATTCTCTTTACCTATGTATTTCTCTCCTTACACTATCTTTGTATCTTCCACGTACCTTACTTTCTTACCTGGTTTTTGTAATGTCAGCAATATTTCTTACCAACTAGTTGGCCCCTCCTTCCGAGTAATTAACATAGTTCGTAAACAGCTGAGGCTCCAACACTGATGTTTGTTGCACTCCATTAGTTACAATTTGCCAACCTGAAAATGGCTGACTTATCCCAACAGTCAGTCTCCTGTTGATTAGCCAATCCTATAACCAAGCTAATACATCACGCCAACGCTGTGAGCTGTAACCTTTAAGTGGCACCTTATCAAACATTGTAAATACAGACACATAAACTACTGGTTCTCCTTTATCAACCCTGCTCAAGGAGCTGCAATAAATTAATCAAATATTATTTCCCTTTCACAAAACCATGTTGATTTTGTCTGATATTGTTATGATATTCTAAATGTTCTGCTGTAACTTCCTTTTATAACGGATTCTAGCATTTTCCACAAACAGATGTTGAGCTAACTGGCCTATAACCTCCTGTTTTCTGTCCTCATCCTGTCTTAAATGTTGGTTAGGGTTACGGTTAGGGCTATGATTATATTTGCATACATGCTTTTTTTCATTTTTCAACTCAGAAAGAAGAAACCAGAAGTTTAAGAAAGAACAAATTGTAACAACTGAAACTTGCATAACTTTGGAAATTTTGGAAGATTATTACCAGTAAAATCCACTATCAACACTGGCACTTCTTAAGACGCAGGAGTGAAGCCTAATTCACTTGTCAGTCTTCAGTCCCATTAGTTTTCCCAGTAATTTTTCTCTCGTCATCCCAATAGTTGTAAATTCCTCCTTCGTTTTTGTTACTTGATTTTCTATTATCTTTAGTCTGTTGCCCTAAGACAGTTCCATTACATTTACAACACTGGTATCTACCCCAACAAGGTGGAAAATTGCCCAGGTATGTCCTGTACATAAACAACAGGGCAAATCCAACTCGGCCAATTACCACCCCATCAGTATCCTCTCAATCATCAGTAAAGTGATGGAAGGTGTCAGTAACAGTGCTATCAAGCAGCACCTGCTCAGCAATAACCTGCTCAGTGACACCCAGTTTGGGTTCCGCCAGGGCCACTCAGCTCCTGACCTCATTACAGCCTTGGTTCAAACATGGACAAAAGAGCTGAATTCCAGAGGTGAGGTGAGTGTGACAGCCCTTGACATCAAGGCTGCGTTCGACCATTGTTATCATCAGCTTTCCTTCGATTTGAGGATGCTGTATACTTAGGTTTCTGCTCTGGTTCTTCATTCAACTGAACAGCCTGATTGTAACCCACAATGTTCCTTTGGTCAGAAGGGGTAGGATGTCGCATGAGGTCCAAAGTGTAGGATTTGCTGCCTGTTCCTTCCTTTAATACCTCTGCTCTGCCTCATCATTAAAGCCGATAGGATAATTCAGCTTGATGGATTGGTTGTTGTAATGGTAACTCAGTGATTAATGTCAGTGTTCCTGCATTTTAATGAAAATTTCAAAGTGTCTTTGCATCTTTTCCTTCACCATCTTCTTACCCTGAAACACTGGCCATTTGAGAGTTAAGAAAACAGGATCTGCTGAGCAATTTTGTCTACCTAGATCCAGTCTTAGGCCTAAATCTGTGATATGGTATCAAGGAGCCCTAGAAAAACTGGAATCAACAGGTATCGGGGCAAACTCTACGCTGAATGGAATCATATCTGACACATAAGAAGATAGTTGAGGTTGTTGGAGGTCTGTCATCTCAGTCCAGGACATCTCTGCAGGAGTTCCTCAGGGTAGTGTCCTGGGCCCAACCATCTTCAGCTGCTTCATCTATGACCTTTCCTCCATTATAAGGTCAGAAGTGGGGAAGTTTGCTTATGAGTGCACAATGTTGAGCACCATTTGCAACTCCTCCGACACTGAAGCAGTTCATGTTCAAATGCAGCAAGTCCTTTGGAATACTGTGTTCAATTCTGGTCGCCACACTACCAGAAGGATGTGGTGGCTTTGGAGAAGATACAGAAAAGATTTACCAGGATGTTGCCTGCTATGGTGGGCATTAGCTATGAGGAGAGGTTGGAGAAACTTGGGTTGTTCTCACTGGAACGACGTAGGTTGAGGGGGGACTTGATAGAGATCTACAAGATTATGAAGGGCATGGACAGAGTGGACAGTCAGAAGCTTTTTCCCAGGGTGGAGGAGTCATGGGTTGAAGGTGTGAGGGGCAAGGTTTAAAGGTGAAGAACAAGGCAAGTTTTTTACACAGAGGGTGGTGGGTGCCTGGAACTCGCTGCCGGGGGAGGCAGTGGAAGCAGATACTGTAGTGACTTTTAAAGGGCGTCTTGACAAATGTATGAATAGGATGGGAATAGAGGGATGCAGTCCCCAGGCAGGGTAGGGGGTTTTAGTTGTGAAGGGCAGCATGTCAATGCAGGCTTGGAGGGCCAGAGGGCCTGTTCCTGTGCTGTAATTTTCTTTGTTCTTTGTTCCTGGATAATACCCAGGCTTGGAATGACAAGTGGAAAGTAACAATCACACTGCAGAAATGTCAGAAAATGACCATCTTTAGCAAGAAAGAATCTAGCCTCTCCTCTTGATGTTCAATGGCATTACCTTTACTCAATCTTCTGCTGTCAATATCCTACAGTTACCATTGACTAGAAACTGAGTTGGACTAACAGACAAATACAATGACTACGAGAACAGGTCAGAGACTGGGAGATCTATGGTGAGTAAATTGGTCTGACTAACCAAAGCCTGTCCACAAGACCTAAGTCAGGAGTGTGATGGAATAATTGTCTGGATGAATCTATCTCCAACAACATGTAAGAAGCTTGGCACAATTGAGGAGAAAGCTGGTCACCTGATTGGTACCATCTACATGGTACACTGTAGAAATTCACCAAGGTTTCTAAGCTTCCAAACCTTCCAAACTCACAACCACTACCACCTAGAAGGACAAGGGTGGCAGATACATGGGAACATTATCATCTTCAAGTTCCCCTCCAAGCCACTCACCACCTTGACTTGGAAATATGTAGACGTTCCTTCACTGTCACTGGGTCAAAATCTTGGAATTCCCTCCCTAAGGTCATTGTGGGTCTACCTACAGCACAGAGACTGCAGCAGTTGAAGAAGGCAGCTCACCCCCATCTTCCAAAGAGCAGCTAGGAATAGGCAATAAATACTGGCCCAGCCACTAATGCCCATATTCCATAAAAGGATTAAAATAATTTTTTTGCGTCTTCTACTACAAAGGCAAAATGTTTGTTTAAATTTTCTGCCACTTTTCCATCATGATATTCCCAGTCGATAGAGTCTGTTCCACCATTCAATGAGAGCATGGCTGATCTGAAAATCCTCAACTCCACTTTCCTGCCTTTAGCCAATAACTCTTGATTCCCTTAATGATTCTCCCACAAGGCAAAACTGGCTTTTCACATCTACCCTGTCTAGTCCCCTAAGAATCTTGTATGTTCCAATATGGTCGTCTCTCATTCCTACAAACTCCAAAAAGTATAGGTTCTACCTACTCAACCTCTCCTCATAAGATAATCCCTTCATGCCTGGGACCAGCCTTGTGTATCTTCTCTGGACTGGCTCCTATATCTTTCTCTAGATAATGGGGCCAATACTCTTCACAGTGTTGCGCATGTGTTGTAACTAGTGCCTTGTAGAGTTTTAGCAAGACTTCCTTATTTTTATACTCCATTCCCTTGAAATAAATGCCAATGTTCCATTTGTCTTTCCTGTTACTTGCTGAACTTAGATGTTGGTTTTTGTGATTTATGCACGAGGATTCCCGAATTGCTGTGTGATACAGCCATCTGCAGTGGATCCCTTTCTAATCTGCTGCACTCCAATCTCTTCAAATTGACTGAAATGTTCTTAAGCTAAAGGTAAGTCAGAAAATCCAGATCGTTGTTGGGTAAGAATTGAATTTATAAGAGTGATCTAATACTCACCACTTTCCCAGGAGGGCCAGGAGGACCAACTGGTCCATGGAATCCTGTGAGACCCTGCATAAAGACAGGAAAATCAGCAACAAGAAAGGAAAGGGCCATTTTTGAACAAGATGGAGTCTAACAGCCAAGAGAGAGCTGCATCCATGGTGCTAGCTGTTGCTGCGTGACCACCAGACCAGGAAAGCCTCCATGATCTGGAGGATCTTACTCTAGCTCCTGTTTACCACGATGTACTTACAATCCAAGCTGCATCACACCATCGCCCCAAAATTGGCAGCAGTGCCCTTGGCTACCATGGAGCCAAGTATTTCCAACCCCAATATAAACCTCTTTCTCTCCCTCTCATCCTTTAAGACACGCTCCTTAAAACCACCATCTTGGATCAAGTGCCTATCCAGCTTCAGTCTTGTGACCACTTTACCCGATCAATGTTTCTGGGCAGCACCTTGGGACATTTTATTACAAAGTTGAGGGAGTGTGGTCAGGGCCCCGAGAGGGGTCACAGTGCAAATTTTGGGGTCGTGAACTCCGAAGCAGCTACGGTAGCTGTGAAGCTCTGACCGAATTATTATCGCTGTACTCTGTCTCTAACAGGGCCTTGGTTTCACAGCCCCCTTCATTCCCCCACCTCGCAGCTCTCACAGGAGGGTCACAATAATTTTCAAGCCCCAGAATGGGCTCATAGCGGTACAAAGTTTGGGAAGCACCGATTTACTAATTAAAGGTGCTATATCAATGCAAGTGGGTGCATAAATGGTGGCATTGCTGATCAATTTGACAATTTTCTGAACCGTGAGGCGTCAGTCTAGGGAAATGCTCACATCCAGTTGTTCACTTACTCTGTCACCAGGAGGACCAGGTTTACCAAGAGGGCCTCTCAATCCTCGAGGACCCTGTGGAGGGAACAGAACAGAGTCTGATATAAGACACCCTTCCTCCCAATGCAGAAATATTCAGGCATTTTAGTAACATCACGACACTGTGTCACAGACTCATCATTTTTAACAATAAGAACAATTTGCATGATTA